CTTCACTGTATAAATTAAATCTAATAAATCTGTGTTAAAGCTACAAAAGTGATTTTTCTTTGTTTTGTTGTTTGATTAACGTTCATGAACAGAGAAAGCAACAAGAACATTAAACTGCTGTGAACCAATATACTGTTATCCATCCATTTTCTTTCTCATTTGTTTACCTTCACCTAAGCCATAAGCATCTGTGTTTACAAGGATACTTGCAAAGCAGGGCCGTCCTTAGGGGGGTGCAACTGGTGCGGTCGCACTGGGCCCCGCGGTGAACGGACAAACCCCCCCACCCCACCCCCCGGAACACGATCGCGAATGGACCGAGGGGACAATAGAATACATTATAATCAGTGATGCTGTGTGACTGACTACACTGGATGCGGCTCAACACGACAAATCCCAGACAGTTAACTAATGCCTCATTCTCTTTATGACGTACTGACACAAAGTTCAAATGATGTGCAATGGTCGCTTTGTCGCGTCCAGTGTAGACAGACTTTGGGGCCATTCACATGTCACACCTAAAAACGCGTGGGAAAACGCCAGTCGCGCCACTTTCTCCTTCTTTCCAAAGTGCTCGGGAGCTTGCGCTTTCGTAGCGTCTGTCGTTGCTTAACGACCGTGACCTGTACGCTCTCCACAAAGACACGGAAGTTTCAACAAAGGATAAACGGATTTCCAGCACTGAAAATCACGTGCAGTAGCTCTGCTACGAAATTCATTTAAAATGGGTATCTCTGTACAGCTGTCGCATCCGGTGTAGATACAGTGTCTGTGTGTGAACAAAGAAAACAATCAGTATAGATATAACGATCAGTATACTAAACAGCGCACATCCTGCGATGTGACTATCGCGGATGCGCACATCGCGATATCGATGCTGAAACGATGTATCGTGCAGCCCTAGTCTGTAAGTTTACTTATGCTCATTCATTTTCTATTATGTGCATAGGAGACGTTAACAATAAAAAAAATCTTACTGACCCCAAACTTCCAAATGTTAGTTTTAGTCAATAACTAAATAAATTAATATGAATGAGTGATAATTTCACTGTCAAATAAGAGACCATCATTAACATGCATATACCTGTCTTGATTTCATCACTGAACGTGAAGAGGCTACTGTCTCCTGAGCAGAATTCGTTGACCTTTTTGGTCAACTTTTGGCCTGACTTCTGTTCCATCATATAGCGTACATAGAAATGTCCAGGGTTCACAATGTGAGTCGCCATAACATAGTGCACCACTACAAAAGAAAAAAAAATATAAAAAAAAACAAAGTGCACTTGAATAACACAAGGAACAAGGGAGCGGTCATCTTAGTTCATTCAGGAGATTAACCTACAAATAAGCCACATACGTTTAGGCTGTGGAGTTAAGGGCCTATCAAAATGATGCCTGTGATGTCTTCTAAGTGCTTTGTGCCTTTCATTGCGCCTTGGTTCAGGTCCTGGGGAACTATGAGCTAAAAACACATGAGCTCAACATATTACACAAGAACATATTCAGATTAAAAATAAAAGTCACTTGACAGCCCTAATACAAACATAACAAATATAGTCACATTCAGACAGACAGACATTATTCACATCAGTATGATTATTATTTTTTTCCCCAAACCTGCATACACACACCTATTTCCACTATCTCTGAAGAAGTGTCTGTGTCTTCCACTATTTCCTCTATGAAACTTGGCCTGCGTGTGTTTTTCTTTTTGGGAATGGGGTCTGCATTTCCTCTAACAGACTGACTGGAGCTGTCCCAGACCTCCACACCACTCTTCACGACATGTTGGAAAAGCTCCACTGTAACTTCTTCTAAAATACTGTCATGATCATATAATGAACACAAAAATCAGATCACAAGGTTTCAATTCAATAGAGCACATTGTATAAACACTTACCAGTCACTGTCATCTGTAATTTTAAGACAGTTTCTCAAACTGTCAACAAGACTGTCCATTTGAAGACTACAGCTATATATAAATACAAACAAAATGAGAGAGAATTTAGTATGCATGTAAAAACAACAGAGCTGTGTGCATCCATTTTTGTGACAATATTAATTGCATTCTGGAGCTCTTATACTAATGGTGTACAATGGTCCCCTACCTGAGTCCTGAACGCAAAGACATAGAGCTCATGTCGTATGATTCAGCATCCACTGGAATGTGTAGTGTCTCCAAAATCTGAACGCAATTAAAACAAAGCAAAAACTGAGGAGAAAATACATGATACTCTGAACATTTCTTATTTTGAGATGTATTTTAAACACAAATATACAGGGGTTAAAGCAAAAAAAAAACAATAATTCAATATCAATATTTATCGCGATATAATTTTTTTCAATAACGGTGATATGATTCTTAAACACATTTACGATATTTTGATATACATTACCAGTGTTTCCCATACATTGATTTATTTGTGGCGTTTGACTTCGTTGAATAAACATGAGCACTGCACATTTCAAAATCGAAATGCGGCGCAGGTGTTTTATATGAATGTATCTCTGAAGGGAAAGGACTGTCTTCAGAAAAGTTTCGATGGCATTTTCATTTTTATCTGATAAAGTAGCGTTCATGAGCGGAGCTGATTTGATTACAGCCATTACCGGGAAAACTGCTAGTTTTATCACTCTAAAAGCGCCTCCTGCTGGCAGAGAATGAATTTGCACTTTCAATAAGCCCGTCTCCAGCAACATGTTTTTGTTGTTGTTCAATTTTTTTGTTTTCTGCAGCGACTCGGACCACTTTTCATACCCTTTTTTTTCTCTGGCTGAAGCACATTTGCTTCAATATATAAGAATAATCAGCCTACACTACCAGTCAAAAGTTTTTTAACAGTAAGATTTTTAAATGTTTAACGGTTTTTTTAAGAATTCTCTTCTGCTCACCAAGGCTGCATTTATTTGATCCAAAGTACAGCAAAAACAGTAAAATTTTGAAATATTTTTACTATTTAAAATTGCTTTCTATTTGAATAGATTTTAAAATGTAATTCATTCCTGTGATCAAAGCTCAATTTTCAGCATAATTACTCCAGTCTTCAGTGTCACATTATCCTTCAGAAATCATTCTAATATGTTGATTTGCTGATTATCAATGTTTAAAACAGTTGAGTACATTTTTTTTCAGGGTTCTTTGATGAATAGAAAGATCCAAAGATCAGCATTTATCTGAAATAAAAAGCTTTTGTAACATTATACACTTCAGTATAATTCCATTCAGAATAAAATTTTATTTGTTATTTTTCTGGAAAGAAATTATAGAAATTAATACTTTTATTTAGCAAGGATATTTAAAATTGATCAAAAGTGATGATAAAGGCATTTATAATGTTACAAAAGATTTCTATTTCAGATAAATAGTGTTCATATCGATATCGGAATTATATTGTATCGATCGAAATTAAGAAATATATTGTAATATAAATTTTGGCCATATTGTCCAACCCTAAGCTCACGAGATGAGACAAAATACTTGGTTCACTAGAACGAGACGATATTTTAATACTATTTTAAAAAAATTTTCAATCACAAAATATTTGTCTTTTAATTACAAAAAGTAAAACAATACAGTTGTATTTTGAAATATTTTAACTAATCTAGGGCTGTAACTAATGATTATTTTGGTAATCAAGTAATCTACTGATTATTTTGACAATTGAGTAATCTGATATTTTTTAGTAACAAATAGACCTAACTGAAAACCAGGCTTTAGTTTGACTATTTTATATAAAAACTAACGATGAGGCAATAATAATTGGCTCAAATAAAATATCAAAACCAAGCAATTACATGGTTTTATTCAACAACACTGTTAAAATACATAATGTAATATGCCTATGCATAATATGAACATAACCAACTTAAGTACATTATGCATTATAACAAATACCTGCAGAGGGCGCCAAAGGCCTGGTGACGTGTCACTTTACAACGTGATCAAAAGACGTTTAAATCCATTAAATTTTAATATTTGGCCACTTGCAAACTCAGAAACTTTTATTTTGAAATCGCAATGTACAATAAATGGCATATTTAGACATAGGTTGATGTATTCTCCTGTGTTGGCAAAGGTTTATAAATGATTTACGTTGCAAATCTAGTGAAATAATGCACACCGTTTTCCCAGATGAACGTTAAGCAACCCAAACTCACAGCATATGCAGAGGAAGAGTTTAGCCCCTTTCACACATAAGTTACAGTCTTCACTGGTAAATTACCAGTAAGTTACCATTAAGAGATCATGTGTGAACAGGACCTTTTCAAAAATTCTGGTAAATTTGTTCTGGCAATCATATCATTCTTATGGAGATGACATGATTACTCGGAGCATAGTAATGTTAGTTTGGTTGAGAGTGAAAGCTGTGCTCCTCTCATACTATTGGTAGGCTAACTCATGGACTCGAAAGTGATAAACAAGTTTTTTTAAAATGTAGGATTCTTTTTTTCCGCAGCTAAACGCTGCACGCCGGAGATCCGGCACGGTGCCAGAGAACTTTAAGCCCTGAATATATGATATAAATATAAAGTATATGAAATATATCTGATGGAAATATTTGTTTGATGTCGACTACCAATAAAAAAAACATGTATAAAAAGGGAAATTAATTTCTAAATTTCTAATTTCTTTGTTGTTGATGACGGTAAAATGTATAATCATTTTGCGCAGCTTGTCGGTGAACAACGGCTCTGTGTAGTTAATGCTGCTCCATGTGAAAGCCGGCAGGTGATGGAGATTTACCGCTGATTACAGAATGGCTTTACTGACAAGATGCGCGTTAAATATCGCATGCGATTTATCGTGCAGCCCTATTGCAAACACAATTTCTTTCCTAAGATTTAAATTAAAGTAAACTTAAACCGAGTCATTTTTATGTTATCCGAGTTTGCTCCACAGACCATTTAACATTGTGCAGAACACTGTATGGAATCTGCTACAGCATTACCTTGTCTAGGTTGCAATAGGTCTCCAGAGAAGGAACCTGTCGGACATGCCGAGCTTTCTGGATGGCTGTTTGCAGCTCCTTTATCCTCTCTTCTATTCTCTTACATTCTTTCCGACCGTCCGTGAAGAGTAGATCCACATCACTCAATTTTGACACCAACATACTCCGTCTACAAATTCCACAAAATGAATAACAAAAATTATTTGCCAAGTCTGAAGATACCTACAAGACACCACAGAATAGTTCATCTCAGTTTGTGCCTCTAAAAATTCTGTCCACGTACCTTTTCTGCAGAATACTCTTTGCTTTGTCAACAGCCTCATCAATTTCTCTGATTATTCGAGTTCTCTCTTTCCTCAGTTGAGCATGAATACCACTGGAAAGAGTCTTAATCACACACAAAACAACAATTTCACATATACTGTTGAAGAGGCATCAAGTAATCATGAAATCAAAATGGACAATTCCTTTTAAAAAATGTCAGTTTTAAATATAAAAAAATTTCTCTACCCATCATTTATTTTTCCTCATAATCTTTCATAAAAACATTAAAGGGTTAGTTCACCCAAAAATGAAAATTAGCCCATAAATTACTCACCCTCAAGTCATCCTAGGTGTATATGACTTTCTTCTTTCAGACGAATCCAGTCGGAGTTATATTAAAAATGGTCTTTGATCTTTCAAGCGGTTTCATGCCACTCAGCGGGTGATGCATGCATCAGTCCAAAAGCAGTTAAATAAAATGCGCCCATCCATAAAAATAAAAAAAAAGGTCTCACACGGCTCCGGGGGGTGAACAAAGGCCTTCTGTAGCGAATCGATGCGTTTTTGTAAGAAAACTATCCATATTCAAAACGTAATAAATCACTTTAATGTAGCTTGCGCTCACTGTTGTACACTGGAAACAGTTCCGGGTGGATGACATATAAGGGCAGCTTTGCGCATGCGTCACGCGGAAACGCAGGGGAGAGATCAAAACAAAACAACGGTCACTAATTAGAAGTACAAAACGAGGATTTGTAAAGAAGAATGTCGGAGGATTTCGATATAAGCCAAGAGGAGACTGGTTTTCCTTTGCTAAAATAAGGAAACTTTGCAAATTATATTTGATTTATATGAGTTAATTTAGACGTAATGCACAGTTTTTTTAATAGACAGTTATGTCTTTGCGTTGACAATTTAAATGTGCTGCATTATTTTGCTCATTGCACCCTCCTGTGGCCTCGGGAGACAAAAGTTTCCTTAAGACCTATTTAATCTGCATATAAAACATTATAAATTAGATATTTGTTTAATTTTTATTGTGTTTGACTGTTAAAACAAAAAATATTTGTTGTTTGTCTCAATAAATTGGGTTAATTTAAAAATACAATGGTTAAATTTAAACATTTTGTTCTATTGCTCTTTGTTTTAAAAAAGGTTATAAAAATGTCAATAATTATCGATACCGAAAGATATGACACATTATATTGTTAATCCATTTTTTAGCTATATCGCCCAGCCCTACTTGAGGGTGAGTAATTTATGGGCTAATTTTCATTTTTGGGTGAACTAACCCTTTAACGTTTCCTCACAGCAACATCTCTTCTAAAAAAATCTACCCACGCAAATGATTCCTACATATGAACACATATTTCTACATAATAAGACTACATACAAGATTTTGTACCGTTTCTCATTGTACCTTGTGAAGTTTATCAAGTTGACTGAGGTTTTCTGTTGCTTTCCCAAGAGCTTCATCCAAAACTTTAACAACATCTGGCCTCTATATAAACATAAACCTTCATTATTGAGCTCTTATCTTGTTCTGAGAATATTAAGGGAATCTGATCTTAAAGAAAAGATGAGACTACATAACACACTTCAGAGTCATACAAGTGGAAAGTGTCTGTACCCCTTCAGCATTCTCCTGTGTGTGGACGGCTGCCGATGACGGTGGGCTCTTAAACCTTTGAGATTTACACCTGTCTCCAGAGTGCCTGCTGACAGTAACCTTTATTTTCCATTTCAATTTTAACTTATTGAACCAATGTTTCATTTAAAAAAATGGTTCTAGAGTTTTAGGTTTAAAAATATACTGGTTTTTAAGACTAAAACTGCATGTTGCTGAATACCCTTTCTTTGTGTTCATCCGAGCTGTATAGATGAGGCCAATGATTCGGCTGTCCACCTCCAAACCATCAACTTCTTCCTCAATTCTGGTGTCCATCTATATTAAAAAACAAACAAAAGACTCCATCATCATCATCATCAACATCAATCTGAATAATCCCATTCCACAGGAGAGGTTAATAAAGACTAATAGAGCTGCAAACCAGTGAAATTGGGGAATTTGCTCCAGTGAGGCTAACTTTAGTGGTTTCTTTAAAGTGTAAAAACAAAAACGTAAAATGTCCCTTACTTGTACAAAAATGGAGACTAACAAAATGGGGGACGAGAAAGCTTCTTACAGACTTTGTTCATTTCAAAGGCTTTTTGTACTCCTTACATACATGTCATAAATTGAACAAACTTATGCTTACGCATTTTTTATTAATACTATATTAAATAAAAAATACAGTGCCTTACACACCCCACATCTTTCATAGGTGCAATGGATAAATATGGAGCCAGATCGGCCTCAAAAATAATACATTTATAAAACAAAATTCATAAATGCACAGCACAATTTACATTTACAAAATCCGATTCGTAAATTCAAAACACAATTCATAAATACAGAAGTAAAAGCATAAATATTTCCCCAAATGCTCACACAAAAGCATCTTACCTAAATAAATTTAAAATGTTTAAGAAAATGCATATTTGTGTAAACATTTTAAATTTATTTAGGTAAGATGCTTTTGTGTGAGCATTTGGGGAAATATTTATGCTTTTACTTCTGTATTTATGAATTGTGTTTTGAATTTACGAATCGGATTTTGTAAATGTAAACTGTGCATTTATGAATTTTGTTTTATAAATGTATTATTTTTGAGGCCGATCTGGCTCCATAGATAAAAGTCTAATATGAACTCTAAAAAATACAAACATTGTATAAATCCTAAATCCCAAACAAACAAAAATATATTATATGTTCATTTAGATTTGTTCGTAAAATAATATAAATGTATATAATATTAATATAAACAACTAATTTTAAATACAACATTGAATTATTTAACACTTACACATTTTTGAACGATTACAATTTAAGTTTTTTTTATTAGCTAGTAATCTAGTAACGGCACATTCTGAACAATTATAGTTTTAAGCAGTGTAGCCTATTAGTAGTTAGTTAGTAAGTTACACTTTAATAAAAGTAGGGCACAATCTACTATGTTAATATTAAGGAATTTTCCGTAATTATTTTTCTGTTTTTTTTTTTTACCTGCATTTTAAATTACACATTGTATTTTGTGTTTTGGGGTTACAGGGTTACAACGGATAATGGAAAATGGATAACAGATAATGTCCTGGAAAATTAAAAGCTGCTTTGCAACGATTTGTATCGTGAAAAGTGCTATACTTGAATTGAATTACTAGTAACTTTTCTAGATATTTTTCTTACAGTGTACTAACTAATCAACAATTGCAGGTACAAGCTACTCAGGAAGTGAATCATAAATGAACAATTATTCAGTTATTAAATTATTATTAATATTAATTGAACAATTGCAAATAGTAGCTACTTTAATTCACGTGATGTGTTTACTGCTAGGCATCTTTGGTTTCCTCTTTTTGTGTAATTTAGATTAAAAATGCGCCTTTTATCGTTTGAGTCACTTATCAAAAGTTGCTAAATTTTGCCAAAGAAATTTTAAAAATAGCTAAATTTGTTGCTAGGTGCTTTTGGAAGAAAAAGTAGCCAGGGTAGTCTGAAAAGTTGCTAAATTTAGCAACAAAATCGCTAAGTTGGCAGCACTGTAATTACTCATAAATCACCTGACATTCGGGACACGTGATGACGTTTTGCGGGGACTGGAGCGCGCGCAGGCATGTACTGCAGAAAATATGACTGCACAACAGCACATGAGGGAGATTCCCCCCAGCTTCATCTTCTGGAGGAACAAAAACATAATGCACCAGATTAATACAACGAACAATATTAACATTAGCTTTTCAATACCCTGGCACTAACGCTTTTCTGGAACATTCAGTCACGTGTTGTCAAAAGTGCTCGTGTAGGATTAATGTTAGATAGAACAAAACTTAAAATACACTATCGTATTATCATACAGTTGAAGTTTTGTTGTTTGTTACCAGGTAATGTGTAAGATGAGCCACAGATATTACAAGCAACCGCCGTCTCCGACATTTTCCACAAGACTACTGTGACCTCCTGTTTCATTAACTGATGAACTCGACTGCCAATCGTCCAATCAGAATTTGCCATCGCTGGGCTTTTTGTCCAATCAGAGCCCTCAGTATATTCGCATTGCTGGCTTCGTGCTATAGTCCAATCAGAAGTTCTCTTTTTAATTGAGTGGCTGTTTTAGAGACGTTGGCATTTTCGTGTCAAGAGAATATTTTTGTTGTCGCTATTTGTGTTATTGTTAGACTCATAGAATTTTTTACTTTAATTTTAGATTGAGCCATATCACCTCGAAATTACAGACAAATTAGAATTCAATCTTTATTCTAAATAAATACAGATTCAAAGTTTTTGTGCTTTTGTCTAAATTACTGGTGTATCTGTAGGCTACTCTTACAATTGCTATTTATTGGGAGTTTTCAACTCCTATTTTACAACTCCGTGAAATTCAACATAGATGAAGTAAATAGTATATATTCACAATAACAGCCATCATATCAGTGATAAAAACCACAATCAACTATTGGAAATGGTTAAGTGTGTGTGTGTGTGTGTGTGTGTGTGTGTTTCATGAATGTATAGAAGTATTTTTGGGATTGAGAATAAAGATCCCTGCCCCTATCCCCCATCACCACTAGGCTGTATCAAGATCCAGGTTAAGGAATTCATTGTGTGGCATTTTCTGCACAACAAAAAGGTCAATGAGCAGAGGCCCTCTGGCAATCATGTCTGGCTGTAAAAGAGCACACACAAAAAATCCTCTGACCTCATTCAAGCTATACATTTTATAAGTACAGTGTATGCAAACCCATCTTGTTATTTCTAGTTTCACCTTGTTTAATTTTAAGTTTACATGTATCTGTGTGTAAACCATACAGTCTATGGTGTAAACAAGCACAATAAATATGATATGCACTGTATATATTGCATAAATATTATATTAGCTGTTATATTGCATAAATATTATATTAGCTGTTACTGTATATGTGCTCTCCATTTTTGGAAGATAACATTGCGTTGCATTCTTTGTGTACTTGACTTACATTTGTGACAGCTTAGTCACATTCAAACTGATACTGCACGTTAGGAAATATTATAGTGGTAAAATGCAACAAAACAGTAACAGTACAACCTGACACATACAAGTAGGAACACCTTTTAACCTAGACCTACCCTTTTATTATACTAACAGATAGGCATATGAAATTCTCTACATTCCCATCTCTTCTTTATCTTTGTACACATTCATTCCTAACAACTCCCTCTTTTTTGTTGTTCTTTCTGCCTGATTACATTACTTTATGCATTCTAGGAATTATTGAAATATGTTACGTGTATGTCTGCTGAAGAATGTTTTCAGAATCAGAATCAGAATCAGAATGAGCTTTATTGCCAGGTATGTTTACACATACGAGGAATTTGTTTTCGTGACAGAAGCTTCCACAGTGTAACAGAATGACAGTGACAGAACAAAAAAACACAGATAATAAAAAATAAAAATAAATAAAAAATAAAATGTTTAAAAAAAATAAATTAATTAATAAAAAAAAACACGTAAAATAAGGAATAAAAAATATACAAATCGACAATTGTATGTACAGGTATATAACAATAGACAGTTGTATGTACAGGTATATTATGTGCAAATTGAAATGTAGACTGAGTATGTGTGTTAGATAAATAAGTGTATGAGTGAATAAATAGTGTGTGTTCCACAGTTATTGTCAAGTGTTCATGAGATGGATGGCCTGAGGGAAGAAACTGTTCCTGTGTCTGGCCGTTCTGGTGCTCAGAGCTCTGTAGCGTCGACCAGATGGCAACAGTTCAAAGAGGGAGTGTGCTGGATGAGAGGGATCCAGAGTGATTCTGCCAGCCCTTTTGCTCACTCTGGATAAGTACAGTTCTTGGAGAGAAGGGAGGGTTGTACCAATGATTCGCTCAGCAGTCCGGACTACCCTCTGTAGTCTTCTGAGGTCAGATTTGGTAGCTGAGCTGAACCAGACAGTTATAGAAGTGCAGAGGACAGATTCAATGACGGCTGAGTTTCAGCAGCTCCTGTGACAGGTTGAGCTTCCTCAGCTGGCGAAGGAAGTACAACCTCTGCTGGGCCTTTTTACCAATGGAGTGATATTTGATGATAAATGTGAATGACTGGCACCAACAGTAAGGGAACCTTTCAAAACAACGATACTAGAGAATAGGTCTTTAACTCATTAATGTTGCTCATTAATCTAATTTTGTAGATTAGATCTGTGGCCTTTTAGAAATGTACTAATTTCTTATAATCGAATATTTGAAATGGTCAAAGTGCACATTTCTGCATCTGGGATTTTATCAAGTAGGTGAGGGTGATGGACTCAAAATTCTCAGATTCTGTAACTGAAAATGAACTGTGAAAATCTATATAAATTTAAAAAGAATAATAACAAAACAAATCTCAGTTTTGGTGTTTGCATAGTTACTGCATTTTTGACTTTATAGTTCAGAGGGTTGTGGTTTACTTTATTAGAAGGTCAGCACTAGTGTATGATAGTCTCATTTCTTGATTTTGACATTTTACTTTTTTTATTTTTTTGTGTGCAAAAGACAGATTTGCTAAATGCAGCTATATGAACTGTGGCTGGACAAAATCAGTATACAAAATGGACAATCTGATAGAGTTCAGTGAGGAAAGTATGATTATAGTTTGAGCAACCGTCAATCAAACTGGCTACATCTGGTGAGAAAAGAGACTTAAGCTTGTCTGACCATTTACTCATCCCAGTAAGGAGGGGGCAGGGTATGAAGATAAACTGGCCTAAGGAATTATTATAGCTAAATACTGAATAGATTCTTCTCGAAATATTTGTCAAAATGTCTTATTTCCAAAGACAAACAGATATAATTAAAGAAAGTTGTTTCACAAGGTATAAACATTCTCTCCTCTGTCAAAACTAGCCATATGTTGTATACACACACAGACCATATCCCATTATGTACCGAGATCCCGCCTCCTAAATCTTCCCCTTGCTGCTCAGAGACACAGACATAATCTTCCATCTTTCAGAGAGGAAAGACAAACACATTGTTCAAAGTGTGGACAATCAAAGTGTGGAGCTTGCGAGGAGGACGGGATAACTGAACACCCTCCTGGATTTTGTATTTCTACCACACTGAAACAGAAAAGAAGGAGAGCAGCAAAGGGAGGATTACTCAGAGGCAGATGATGATGATATGGAAGCACTGATCTGATCAGTCCTCTAAATCACCTACACACAGTCTTTTTACTTGGATTTTAACCATGGGACCACTATATGAGGCAGGATGGCAGAAGAGAAGCCGAACCAAAAGTTGTGGGGAATACCAGCACTCCAACGTAAGTAACGGAATATAAACAGGTGCTCACTGCTGCACACAACACAAGAATCTATACCAAAAAAAATAGCCTATTTCATTTACATAAAAATAGTTTGGTGCACAGCTATGATTTTCCAGGGTTTAGCTTCAGCATTCAAAGCTCCATTATGAAGATTAACAAAACAAATTCAGTAAAATAATTAAAAAGTAGATTAGTGAAATAAAACAATCTAGAGTAGAAAGTGTAAATAAAGTGAGTGCAATGTTGAAAAAGGCACATAAAAATAGCTCAGATAAGGACAGCACAACTCTGTATCAATACAAGAGAGTACTGAATCATTTATACACACAGCTGTACTGTGATTTTGCTGTATTGATGCAGACAACACATTTTAAACTTCAGAAATTAAGTTGGCAACAAAATAATAATAATAAAATAATTATATAAATAATAATTTAAAATATTTTTAATACCAAAGCCATTGTGGGCAGTGCTCCAATGTACTGTATAGGTGCAGCAGTGCCTCTGGTGACCCAAGTTTGAGTCCTTACCTGTCCTGTTCTCCTCTCTCAGTGCTTCCTGCATCTCCTTAGCCGATCAAAATAAAGGCAAAATGATTTAAAAAATACAACTTTAAAAAGAAAAACAATAATAATAACCATAACTTTTATAGAAGTATTAAAAACTATAAAAAGTAAATTAGTTAATCTAGAAAAAACTGAAAAAATATTTAAAGGAGGAGAGTAAAGGTTTTTACAAGAAATGTAATATCATCAACCATAACCATATATATAACCTTAAATGTATAATAAAAATTAAAAACAATAAAAGTAAATGAATCAATTTAGAAAATAACTGAAAAATATATATAAGGAGGAGAGTAAAGGTTTTACAACAAACGCAATATCATCAACACGTGTAAATATACATTGTGCTATGCATTAATTGATTAAGCTTCATGAACTTCTTCCAATATAAAACTGAACAAATAAACAAATGGCCATTTTTGAAGCTTTTTGTTTCTCAAAATTTTATAAAGATATAATCAACAAACAATGATTGTAATCATAACTGATAAATAATAATTGTGCTGTCAAACCAAATATCAGCATGGCTGTGATCACCTGTGTGTTTTTATGTGATGCTGATTATCTCTTATTCTCTTTTATTATATTACATTATTTCTCTAGAAGTCTTTCTCTCAGCGCAGACAGTCGGCACCCTCTGTTATTCTCAGCAAAGCCCTTACAAAGTCAAAACCTGTCGCCAGGTATGATTTTTGAAAACTAAAACTGTGTGTATGTAATGATGCATTCTGTAAACCTACGCTAAATATGAGACTGCTTGGCCATTAGATTATTTTACAGTCTGTTTCAGTCTCAATGAGCAGTTTGTTTCCTACTTCTGGCACAATGTCACAGCCAGTGCTTGTGCGCATGCAAGAGGCTTCTGAATATATTTGCATTTCACTGAAAGAAGAGAATGAAGAGATGCTGCAGAACCAGCCCGTGTGTGGTCTCACAACCAGCATCTGACTGCACGTGTTTGAGTGCGTGAAAGAGTGACATAGAGAAACAAAGTTGTCTGCCATCAGACAGGCTGACTGAAGAGTATGTGTACTTTCTGAAATCTACACTGTAAAAAATTATTGTGATTTTAACAGTAAAAGACTGTAAAAATGCTACAGTAAAAACCTGTTAACTGGTTAACAGTAAGTTTCCATACTATATTCGGTGAATAAATGTAATTACATTTAATGTAATTTTACAGTAAAATACTGTTAAAAATACGGGTTTTGGAAGTGAAAAAGAAAAAGTCATTGTATAATTTATTAATGAAGCACGTGAAAGAGCGCTCAAGTCAGAAGCTTTGATTAATCACAGACGGATTGATGAATTGGACGTGTTTTTATATGCAAACATTTAAGGGAAAATGCCTGGCCTATGGGGAAATTGTGTATTTTGTATATGTTTTTTAATGTTGTCCTCTTAAGTACTAAATTACTCTTTTTCTCTCATGTGTGTGTCAGGGATTGTGCATCTCAGGTTAGCCAGGACATTTTTGCCCTGATCCAGTCTCTGCTCAGCCCAATCAGGAAGCTCATTTGTCAAGGCAATGTGGTGCTGCAGACAGGACTTCAGACCCAGGAGAGATTCCTGATCCTCTTCAATGATCTTCTCATCATCACCAAGGCCAAGTATGGAGGAGGAAATGCACTGAGAAGAATTAAAATATAGAAGTCATCCAAATATTGAAATGCACAAACATTTAGAAATTTGGGGTCGGTAAGATTTTTTAATGTTTAAAAAAAGTCTCCTATGCTCAACAAGGCTGCATTTACTGGATCAGTAAAATTATACAGTAGAAATATTATTAGAATTTAAAATAACCGTTTCCTATATTTTAAAATGCAATTTATTCTTGTGATAGCAAAGCTGAATTTTCAGCAGCCAGTTACTCCAGTCTTCAGTGTCACATGATCCTTTGAAATCCTTGTAATATGCTGATTTCTTATTATTATCAATACTGAAAACAGTTGTGCTGCTTCATATTTTTGTGCAAACTGTGATACAGTTTTTGCAGGATTTTTCAATGCATAGAAAGCTCAAAAGTTTATTTGACAACATTTATTTAAAATAGAAATATGTTGTAAATGTCTTTGCGGTCACTTTAATTAATCAATTTAATATGTCCTTCATTAATAAAAGTATTCAATAAAATAAATAAACAAACAAACAAAATGACCCCAAATTTCAAAATGGTAGTATATAGTAGCTACAAAGTGGTAAAATGGTATAGTTCTAATAATTTGTTCTTGGAATAATTTGAGATGTTTTTTCTTCTTCAGGTCAGTAATGCAGGTGAAGCAGAAGAAGTGTGTGCGTGTTAGTGAGATGTGGACTGCCAGCTGTGTGGATGAGGTGTGTGAGGCCAGTACTGTTTCAGAGAGGAGCTTCGTCATGGGCTGGCCAACTTACAACTGTGTGGCTACTTTTAGGTACACACACAAACACACACACACACACACAGTTACAGTAGGCCTATATATAGCCAATCTAAGTGGACCCATTGATTTCTTCCTGTTTTGTGTGTGTGTGTGTGTGTGTGTGTGTGTGCACAGCACTTCAGAAGAGAAAGACAGGTGGCTGCCTCTCATTGAAAGGTCAGTTCTTCTACTGTTACAATAAACACAATAAAGAAATAAACCCTCTTACCTAAATTTCTGTTCTCCCTCTTTTCAATTAGTTGTATACAAGAAGAAAAAAAGAGTGATGATCCAAAGATGATTCCACTCAAGATATTTGCAAAGGATGTTGGGAACTGTGCCTATGTGAGAACTGATTGTTTTGTGATTATAAAATGATGTACTGTAGCTTTGATGTGTAAATGAATGTGTATTTGCTTATATCTCTCTAGGCAAAGACTCTTTTTATCAGCAACACAGACCGTACCTCTGATGTCATTAGCACAGCACTGCAACAATTTGGTCTTTCGGTATGTTAAAACTGCACTTCTAACTATAATGAATGAATGAATGAATGAATGAATTTTATTACTTATTTTTATTTAACTGATTGATTGCTTTTGTCTTTGTACACAGGGTGGAATAAAATATTACAAGTTGTGGGTGTGTTCAAAACAAGATGAAACTCCATACCCTTTAATTGGTAAGAGTTTATCAGTATTTCTCACATTATCAAAGCAATCAAACATTTAAACTGTGAATTAACAGATTAAAATACTGTGGTATTAGTATCTGATACTTTCCCTGCACAGTAGCTTTTTTAAGCGTCTTTTGTTCCACCAGGTCATGAGTGTCCTTACAGCATTAAGATGAGCCACATTCGCCTGCTGCAGCAAGAGGCAGTGACATCATCCCACAGCCAGATGGCGCTTTTGCCAATTGATGCTCACTGTCAGTTCTTCCTGAGGCCCAGTCAAATAAGCAGCACCTTCACAGGTGAGAGATGCCTATTTTCAGAATACTACCATACTACTCGTTCGTGCTCGTTTTTGTATGCATGAAATAATCATATATTTTACTTACTGAAAACAATTATATTTTTAACTTCCGTGATGATTTCCCTTGCATTCTACGAGTCCACAGACTGTACAGTTCTTTAAAAGTAAAGCCCACACACCTATATCAAAACATAGACACACACACACACAAAATAAAGGCTGAATATTAAGCCATATATTCTACAAATACATACTTTATAGAAATGCTTTGGCTTGAAATCAACCTGTTTCTCACTCCATTTCTTATGGCACTCAAATCTCACCCACCCCAACAACTAACACACATACACAATATCTTGAAATGTTGTCTCTTTTTAATCTGGTCGGCCTCTCTTGCATACATTTCTCCTAGCAGAACAGAAAAGCAGGAGGATGTCTCTTATTAGCTGGGCTTTTAAACGAGGCTTCAGCATTGAACAGGCTGTCCAATCCGCATCTCCTGGCCCAACTATAACACCAGCTTCTGGTCATCTGTTTGGTCGACCACTCAGTGATGTGATAAAAGACAATACCCTGCCATCACCTATTGTGGTATGTACTGAAAATCCTCAAATTTTAGGCAATTAAAAAGATAATTCATACTGTATTTGAGTTTGACACTGTCGATCATAACATTCTTCTAGAGAGACTGAAAACTGGGTCGAGCTTTCTGGGATGGACCTCAAATGGTTCAGGTCATACTTAGAAGGGAGAGGTTATTATGTGAGTATAGGAGAGCATAAGTCTAAGTGGACGTCCATGACATGCGGAGTCCCACAAGGTTCAATTCTTGCGCCACTATTGTTTAGCCTGTACATGCTCCCACTAAGTCAAATAATGAGAAAGAACCAAATTGCCTATCACAGCTATGCTGATAATACCCAGATTTATCTAGCCTTATCTCCAATGACTACAGCCCCATTGACTCCATCTGCCAATGCACTGATGAAATTAACAGTTGGATGTGCCAAAACTTTCTTCAGTTAAACAAGGAGAAAACTGAAGAAAACAAGGGGAGTCCGCTTTTAGCTATTATACCGCCTGCAGTTGGAATCAGCTTCCAGAAGAGATCAGATGTGCTAAAACATTAGTCACATTTAAATGCAGACTAAAAACTCATCTGTTTAGCTGTGCATTTATTGAATGAGCACTGTGCTACGTCCGAACTGATTGCACTGTATTTTATGTATAATCATTTTCTATTCTTAACTGTTTTAATTAATTTTAAATAAATTTTTTAATTATTTTAAAAAGTTTTTAAATTCCTTGTTTTATTGTTGTGATTATTTTTTTATGATCATTTTAATTCCTTTCATGTAGGCTAATGCACTTTGAATTACCATTGTGTATGAAATGTGCTATATAAACAAACTTGCCTTGCCTTAACTTGTATTACTTTACGAACTTCATCACAATGAGAAAGATTGACGGAAGCAGCGTAATATTATGTTAAGACTGTTATATTATGTAAATGAAAAGATGTATAACTTTTTGCATAATTAAATGTCGAAAAGCACCTTAAAACATTTGTATTCCTTTATGAAAAAGTTATAATAAACATAATTTTTGTTAAAATATGATAACATCCATTTACAATAGTATTGCAATCAAACCACCTGTTTTTTGTTTTTTAAAGGACATGCTGAAGTGTTTGTGCAGTGAGGGGGCCGTGACGCGTGGAATATTCCGGCGCTCTGCTGGAGTGAAGGCCTGCCGAGAATTGAGGGAAAAACTGGATTCTGGTCACTATGAAGAGCCACTCAGTGGAGAACCTGTACTTGTTACTGCTTCAGTGTTCAAGGTAGATATTTATGTATGTGCACTCTTCAAAAGTTTGGGGTCTGTAAAAGTATCACAGTAATGTTTTCGAAAGAAATAGCTTATTCTCACCAAGGCTGATTAAAAATACAGTAGAAACAGAAATATTGTGAAAAAACACTTTTATATTTGAATTTGCATATTATTTTAAAATGTAATTTATTCCTGATGATGGCAAAGATGAATTTTCAGCAACCATTACTTCAGTCTTCAGTGTCACATGATCTTTCAGAAATCATTCTAATATGCTGTTATATCATTATAAATGTCTCTACTGCCACACTTTTAATTTAATGCATCCTTACTGAATAAAAGTATAAATACAAAAAAAAACATTGACCCCACACTATTGAACAGTAGTGTAAGTCAAGAACAAACATTGATTGTATCATGACGACTCTCTGTTCTCATATCTGTGTTTTTGATTGGTAGGAATTCTTACGCAATATACCGGGCAGCCTATTGTGTGAGGAGCTCTATGAGCAATGGCTCCAAGCAGTGGAGCAGGATGGTGAAAGAAATGGACAAATGACAGAGAGGTAAAGTCCCAGTAACGCTCTGATTAGTTTATCTGGTTTTGTAATGCTAGTTAGTAAAGAAGGATAAAACCTTGATAATGATGGATCAAGACTATGATATTACTGCACACCTTAAGCAGATTTAGATTTAGCAGCCAATTTCCTTTAGCTTTATGAGTTATATAATCATGAAGACAGATAACTTCGATATGTTGATTCTGCCCACATTCACAGGCTTGTTCAGCTTTTACCTGAAGAAAATCTCCTGCTGCTGAGACACATGATAGCGATGCTGCACCACATACAGCTCAATGCTGAGCACAACCAGATGACCTCTTTTAACCTGGCTGTGTGTATAGCACCTAGCTGTCTGTGGAATCGCAAAATACAATCTCATGAAAAAGATGCCAAAAAGGTAAGCGCACATGCTTTATTATTACTAGATTATTATAATATCTGCAGAGTGCATTAGTATTAGCTGAAGTAATCATCGTTATTGCTCTCTAAAGAACATGAAAATGGCAGTAGGAATGGAAATGTAATAGACATAGGAAAGGAAAATGTAAATGTAATTGCCAATGTAATCTGTACACAGGTGTGTGACCTTGTGCGTGTCTTGATTGACAACTGCTGTGCGTTGTTTGGGGATGAAATTATAACCCTCTTAAAGGATTTGACTGAAGACAATAGAAGCAACCGCGGATCAGGTTACTATAAATACAGACATAATTCACAACCACATACTGTACACACCAATACAAAACAACACCGTATAATATTTTGCCAGCCTGAAATGTACTTTAGCTAATTTAACTGCTTAACTATGAATAAATAATATTTAAAAAATTAGTCCTGGGCAGCGATTAATCGCATCCAAAATAACCGTTTTTGTGTACATAAAATATGTGTGTATACTGTGTATATTTCTTATGTATATATAAATACACACACATGCATGCATATATTTAAGAAAAAATATGTTGTGTATTTATTAAATATATTTATATATAATATAAATTATATGAATATAATTATATATATATAAATACATGAAAATATTTTCAAAATATATACTGTATGTGTGTGTCTTTATATATACATAATAAATATACACAGTACACACACACATATTATGTAAACAAAAAC